GGTCAATAACCCCTGCCAAAACGCTATATAATTCAGCAGACAGAATCAAGCAGCATCAAAGAAGCTAACTTAATTATCTTATTTAAAAAGTGAATTATCTCTTTATCACATCAACATCAGTCAGAGTTTCTGGTGTTGTCATGCATGATTTACTTCTGCAACTGCCTGTTCGGGCTACTTTTGCATGAACCACTCCAAATTTAATCATTAGTAAGAAAACATCCTAAAGTGTGATTTGGTGGATTACATCATTGGAATATAACTATTTATGAGCGATGTGCTGTTCTGTGGTTTATGACAGGCCAGGATTACTTCTGTTGTGCGTCCCGTTAAATTGTTAACTGCCTCTCTTTCAAAACATTAATGTTTGTGTATGATCCTTAAATTTGCACGAATAGATAGTTCAGTGGCTGGAATATTTGGAAGAGAGAACAACAAATTGGTAAGTAAAGTAACAGGTTTCTTTTTACGTTGAACTAAACCAATTCCCCAAAGGGCAATTGGTCTTTCTCCCTGTTTGCCTGTCTTGTATCGTGAACCAAGTGTAAAACTGAAAACAGGCCAGACATGAATACCACTTGTTAGCCTTGGTGTAAAATCAGATGTTCCTTCAGGTTTAGCTCTATAACCTGCCTGTGATGGGTAGTTTTTATACGGAACTATCTGGGGCGTCTTAATTGGAAACTTTGGAAAAGGGCAGGCACTTTCAACAAAAAACTCAGCATGTGATTGGATGAGCCATCTGTCTATCACTGTCTATCACTAACTAACTTCAACAGATCAGATCAACGAATAATATAATATAGTTACATTACAGAAGCTAGTCAGGTGAAGAGTTAAAACATCTCTTCCACTGAGAAAAGCCTTCAGCGCTGTTCTTTGCTCTTCCTTTCACACTTCCTGCTCTGCCTTGCACTTAAGGCTTGCTCACAAAACAGAAACAGCATGCTTTAGGCAGAGCAGCAGTTATAGTCAGTCTAATGCATTAATGATGCTATACTATAACCAGCATCCTTATCATGCTTATCATTTATGAATAAAGCTGTGTTATTTAACTTATATTTAAATATAAATGATGTCAGGTCACACAATGACATTACCTACTACTATCGCAGCCAAGATCCTCCAATAATGATAAAACATGCTATCGGCGCTGAAAATAGACTAATTAGTCGACCTTTAATATGCATGAATAAAGGCTGTTCTATGGTGAAAGTCATTTCAGACAGGTAGTACCTAAACCTTCACACAAGCCTAGATAAGCAATTAGGGTTGTGAGACAGACATGTGAGTTCATGCTTCCTCTTCCTTCATCACCTCTTGTCTCTACAAGTCCCATTTTGCTGACGCGTCACACTGTAGGAGCGAAAGAAGGAACAGAAAATGAGAGGAGAGTGACATGGGGGGCTGGTGAGGAGGGAGAGGTCTTAAATGACAAAATTGCTGTGTCTGATTTGTGTCTACTGATAACTTTACAGCCAATTCTAATTGAAAAAGCTTGAATATCATGTTGTTGTATAATTCATGTTTAGCAACTCAACTCCCATTATGTGTCGCCCCCCACTATGATGTGATATGAGACTAAAGGGACAATTCAATTTTACTTCTGAGTAGAGAATCAGGCAGAAAATATGTTGGATACTTCTATTATTATTATACATCTAGTATTGGATACTATTTCCTTAAAGAAATATAAATCAGCAGTAATGTAATACCATCTCAGTCTATCTGAGCAGTTATTCTCCACTTTATTAGCTTTTATTAAGAAGCATATTTAATAAAGCCTGTGTTTCCTCTGTGTGTGCAAACTAAGTGTGCATGTGGCTGAAATTCAAAATAATGTCTGAAATAATTTTCAGAGTGTGTTAAGAAATCTTTACGGTAAGTATACGTGTAAGTCTGTGCACAGTTCACATATATGTGCGCACATAGGTGTGTGTAAAAGCACATGTCAGTTTGGCAGACTTGTGGAGACAGCATACCCTGGAGTTGGATGTGAATAGTAGCACCTTCCTCCCAGCGATGCCCTTAATTAGCCGAATTAGACTACAGGAGATAACAGTACCGCCTCAGATAGCCTTTGTACCAACATTAGACTTGACAAAGTTCGGGAATGCTGCTGTACATATTTTTTTTTATGATAAACAGAGAAAGAGAACAAACTAATAAAGGAAGAAAGGGGTCAGAAAGGTAAAGAGGTGTGGTAGCAGTTGCGTGTGCTTAGGTGGCTGGATGTTATATAAGCAGTATTTACAGTTATATGTATATCATGTGTGTGTTTAGGATTGTGGGGGTGGGAAGCTAGGAGGTTAAGGCTGAGAAAATCAGGGTATGAAACAGCACGCACTGATGACTAAATCCAATGTATGACCTCGCTGGCCTTACAAATCTAAAATCGGCGTCTGGATTAGGGATCAGTGGATATTCAACCATGAGAAAAACGAGAAAGAGTGAGAGAGTGGGGGGTAAGGACAGAGAGGGGGGACGTGTGTGATGAAGAGAGCCAGAGAGAGAGATAGAGTGATAAAGAAATTAATGCAGTGGGGGGCTCATGCTGTTTTGGCTGTATTGTGTTTGCTACTATGCAGGAGCATAAGTGGATGCATGTTTGTTCTCAAGATGATTGCTTTCAGTGCAGAACATTCGCTGTATTTACCTTGTATTAATGGAGACTAATGAGTCTGGCAGCAACATGCTCACACACACAGATACACATTCAGGCTGAATGGAGCAGTGTGCTACAGAATGGAGTGCAGCCAGTATCATCAATAGATGCAGCTCATGAGGGCTTTTGCTCCTGTAGCACTGCCTTACTATCTAATGCACTATTCAGTGAAACGAGGGAAATTGACACGGTGGACCTGGCATCGCATGATCTTCCAAGCTTAAGTGTTTGAGTTTTTATTTTAGTTTTATTCAAAAGTATTTGCTCCCCTCTATGTTTTTTACCAAGTTAAATCTGATGTCTGTAAGTTTATTTAATTGTGTTGACTAGTCACTGCAACAAGAAAAAAGACCTTGCTGATGGGTACAGGCTGCAACTTAGAGATGAGACGCAAATTATAATAGCTTTGATAATAACATTCACTGTCCAAATGTCCCTTATCCAACTCCCAATAGACGTTTTCACACCAGCCATTTTACCAATGATATTAATAAAGGTTCTGTTCCATTCAGGTCAAACAGAGTCAGGGTGCTGTTATTGTGCATGTTGGCTCACTGTTGGACTAAATGGAACCTAACTTTAGTGAGTGTCACTGACACACACCTATGTTTACCCTACTATTTCATGTTAAAATAGTTGCTGTGAAAAAGGTCTATAGTTGTTTTTTATGACCTTTGACTAGTGAAATAACAATAACTAACCTTAAGAAAGTATACAGTATAATATAAATATATAATATATAAAACATATTGTCTAAACACAAACCACTTAAAAGCCCAAATAAAAGATCTAAATAAGAGAAATAATCTCCCGTATATTCTTCCAATATGCAGTCAAAAGGTATTTCAAATTGCATATTCAGATCATTATCTTACATGAATCAGTTTAAACATTTACAGCCACCTCAGTGGGCTGAGTGTTGGAAAGACATTAATGTGCACCCACAGCGGGAGGTGGGAGAAGCGGTTTTGACGTTTGCACTGGCTGACCAGCTCTTGTTTTCATGTGTTCGTATCGTTCATTGTTTAACACATCCATGACTTAATATCGTTATATTGTTCCTGTAACATAGAAACCACTGCTCCGCTGACCATGGGTGTAGGAGTTTTTTATTGTTTTTGTAATGGCTATCTGAGCTCCAGTGCTCCAGGCTTGAGGATGAAGTTGTAATGGGCAGGGAGGAGGTGGATCTTCACCGCCTCCATCATGAGTCAGGACTGACTCAACTGTACTGACCTACTCCCTACAGCTCACAGCTCTAGTTCATAGCCCACCTCTCTCTCGCTCTCTCTCTCTCTCTCTCTGTCTTTATTTCTTTCTTCCTCTCCCCTTGGATGATGCTTCACTCCCACTCGGCAGCAGCTGTATGCATAACAATCTCTCTGTGCACATGTATCTGTATATACATGTGGGTGGGGTATCTATTCTTAAAACATATCTGACACTTTGTACAGCAAACATATCTGGCATTATTTCCGTTTTTTATATTTAATTAAAAAGTTCACTGACTTCTTCTTTGCAGAGCTGCAGCAGCTTCTGTCTATCCTTCACTTCTTACCTTTGAATTACAAATGACCTTGAATTAAAAGATCTTCTCCTGGTTGTTATGCAGTCACTAATAAATTACTGTGTACAGTAGCTCCTCCATTTAATTTCAACCCCACGTCCTGCTGTTGTCACTTGTGCAACATTTCATTTAATTGGGTTAATAAGTAAACCTGCTGCTTCCATAATTAATTTAAAATCTCAAAGAGCTCAATGGTTAGATTGTTACAGTTACATTTGTAAATGTTAACCTGTTACTCTGATTTGTTGTCTTATAACACAATAGTCAAATGTGTGCTTATAGTGCTTGTACTGACTGTATTGTTTTCAACTCATTTTCCAACCTGGCAAGTGCATAGTGTGCAATAAAACTCAATAAATGTGTCAGAGTGAGACACATTTTGCCAGTGAATATTAATTAGCTGTTGTTTCTCCGTCTGATTGTTGGTGGTGATAGTCTGCCAAGAGACACAGTTGTCTATTTGCTCATCCCCACTCTGCATGCATCATTTATTTTATAATATTTATTTGTTCCCCTCAATCGACCACATTTCATTATGATCATTGAAAATGAAAATGTTATGAGAAAAGCATTAAACAAAATGAAAGCCGAATAATTGTGGTGTTGTGTGCCAGATGCATTACATCTGTAACCGAGATACTGTATGCAAAGTTCATTAGAATACAAAATAGACATGACCTACATTGCCAAACATCAGAGCATTCAAAAGTAAATCTGGTGCACACTGGGCATAGATACTGGCTCGTCTTGGTGCTTCTTTATCTGTGACTCAGACAAAGTCATGATGTGGGAAAGTGAGTGGGCATGTGTGTGTGTGTCCTTGTCCTTGTCAAAATGTGTGCGCACACTCATATGCATACATTTTAATGTTAAGGGGATACATGTGCCTGTGTTTAAAGGTGAATGGGAGTGGAAAAAGACATGCATGAGTACATACAGCCATGTGTGTGAGAAAAGGGACTGAGATGGCTCAGTGCAAGCTTTGGGGGTGAAGCAAACTTAATAGGAAGATTTCACGCTCCTTTGGAGATCGTTGAAAGTTAGAGGCATCAGCTGCACCTTACGCAGGGAAGGTACACAATATCTCAACAACAGGATCAGATTTGTAAGAGCCTAAATGACCCAGATGGGGTCCTCTGCTCATTGAACCACTCCAGTCTTGACTAGAAAACACACACAAAAAAAGAAGCTATTTAAGGAGAGACACAAGGTTGAGCAATTGTCTTTTCACAAAAGGGAAGGCTTTTTAATCCATAGAGGAAAATTTGTTAGACAGCTCAGTCCTATTAACTTTGATGACTTGTGTATGCGTGTCTGGGTGCTTGTGTGTGGGCAGTGATACCTTGGTGTATTTTCATTTTGCTCTGTGATAAGCGACTGTTGGTGCTGTGACTGCTGTGTCAAGTGGCTCTCCTCTGTGCAGTCAGATATTCACACTAATGTGTTTCCTCTTTTTCCTCTGCAGGGCCCATTGAGATACTTGAGATACAAGTGGAAGGGATGCTTGTTTCATACCCTGATTGACCCTGGTCAGTCAGGGAGCGAGGAGCCAGAGCTGAAGCCAAGCATCAACATTTTGTTTTACATAAAGCGCTATTGGCGCTCTACCACCAGGAGACGAGATCATGTAGACAAATCCTTACTTTGACTTTTGAGCACTGAGCGACCTCCGGGCACAGTTGTGCCAGGGTAATGTTGCTGTGAAACTGGGGAAGGAGGAAGTCTTCACTGTATGTACATGCATACAGATAGATGCATTTATAGTTGTGGAGGTGATATTTTTGTTACATAAGAATTGTTAAAATAAAGTTCAGAATGCTGCTGAAACCCTATCATCAAAAGTAAAGAGGCAAGTTTAGATGAAGAGGTACAAGATGGGGTGAAATGATGTCAGCCAGTATTTGATTGATGTCTACACAGACTTTTATTCTGTGCATACTCAGATGGGAATCAATAGCTCCACTCAACCGATGGAATTTGCCTTTTAAGAATTGTAATTGTTTGTGTCTGGAGAGCCCGACAGGTCTTTGCCTGCAAGCAAACCGCAGCTCTGCTGGACTGCAGATAAGGAGAAAATATTATGTCAGTATGCACAATCACAGTGTATTTTTGGAAAAACTAATGGTTTGAAATTGATGGTGATGTGGTCACTGATCTGTGTCCAGACATTAAGTTCATTGTACATCGAAATCTATGTGCTCAACTGGTGCCATGCAAGCTATGTTTTTTTTCACAATAACATGCAGAGATACAGTATAGTGGCATAGTTACAGCTTTAAAGGATCCTTGAAGAAGTAATAATTTGCATCAAATTTTCTTTGTATACAAATATACATGTACATGTTTGATATCTATATATTTCAGGCATTTTTCTACAGAGACTTTAACATTTAAAGAGATGATATTTTTGATATTGTGTTGGATGACTGAGAGGTATTTTGACGAGAGCTGACATTCCCTCGAGGTACATGTTTTTCAGCGGGGCATAGCAGGATGAGTTATTTATATACAGCAACGGGATAGTGTTTGTGTGGATGAACAACAAGTGCTTCAGTATTATCACTTCAAAAAACTTTACAGAATGGGATGTAATGTGAGAAAGAAAATGTAAGTTAGAGAAGATAAATGGCGTAAACCAAATACCTAGATGTGCTTTATCAGACGGGAGGCATGGGGCTGAATGAATGCATGACTGACTTTTCACTTTGTCCTGACATCACTGTGTTTTTCTATGCATTTCTGTGGAGAGGCTGTCTGTTGGTGGGTTCAACATGCAGGGTGCTCTGCTCTCCATAATATTTAAGAAGTTAAGAAGTATTCCCTCTCATTTCTCACATAATGTCCATCAGGTTATTTCTGCAGCCACTAAACCTGATAAATGTTCTGGGTTTTTACCACATTGCTTAAGCCAATGAGTTATTGGTAATTAAATAATACTGATAATACAGTTTATTTATATAGCACTTATCAAAACTGGAGATTACAAAGTACTTTACAAGTGCAAAATAAAAAATAAAGAAATAGAATAAAAAGGAAGAATATTAATATATGTAACATGTATTTTCATAGGCCATTTTGGATCAATGAAAGAGTGAGAAATATACGTTGGAGAGCAACAAATTCTTTGATATACACAGCCTCTCTCCACATTCAGACTGGAGGCACCACACTCGTAAACGCCACCTCTTTGTTCTCACTGGACACAGAGACTGAGTTCATGACCAAACTCTGGATCAATCAAGAATCCGTTTTAAAGATGATTGGAATGTCTGAAGAAGCTGTCAGTGGTATTTTGTTGTGTGTGTCCACAAACTGTTGGAAAATAACTTGCGAGAAGTAAACACTTTACACTTAATATGTGTCTGTGTGTATTTTATGTACTGAACCATTATGTCAAGTACAGCAAGTGTTGATTTTTTATGTCTGTAGTCTGCATTATAAATTCTGTGTTGCAAATCCATCTTTTAGAATGTCACGATTCTGTGAACTGCAAGTCAAACAGAGGAAATGAAACTGACTGCGAGAGTATCACGCTTAATCAAAGTTACCATAAAACAGTGTCAGCAAACCTTTCAGAAAGGAAAATACATTAAATGCCATCAGCAGCTGCATCAGTTAATTGAAGATTAGTGTGACGAGATAGTGGGCTGGCAGTGCTAAACACCATCGGCTGTCTCCAGAAGATATTCCAATGAATTCACAGCGGTTTGTCACGGTCACACGCATTATAACACAGGCCAAAGCCAGCAGCTCAGTGCCTTAAAGATGAAGCAGGGTGGTTACAGTAACAGGGCGGTGGGAGGCTACAGGACAGAGAGATGGTCTTAAGACTGGACGAATCTGCCAAGAAAATGCGCACAGGAAAAGTACATGGTTAGCTTACTGCCTTGGTATCCATGAGCAAGTCAGTCAGCTCTGAAGTGAAATGGTTATAGGAAGACTGTAAAACTGGAAAACTGTTTGTAGTGTTGTAAATAGAAAGAAAATTGCTAAGGGAAAAAAGCTAAATGTTTCTTAGGTGGAATTATTATTATTGGCATTAGTGTTTGCCAAAGCAGTACAAACTGACACAAAGCTTATATTCATACTATAATGAATGTGTTAGTGATATACTAGTAATATTCTGAATGAACAACATTGACAAATAGACCCCCGAGCACAGACTTCTATACACAACAAACATTGTTTTTCAAGTTTTCTCTGGTATTGTGCAGGTTTAACATTAATATTACAGTTCTGTTGCTGGTTGGAATTATTTTAGTAATGTTGGACATAATAATCACAAAATCAATATCAGCCTACACTCTGTACCTGCAAATACTCAACTTCAAATCAGTTTTATTTGTATAGCACCAAATCATAGCAGAAGGCATCAGGACACTTTTGGTCTAGACCATACAGTTCACGTCATGTGTCTTGTGCCCCTGGGCCGACCCATTCAGCAATCCATCCATGATGAAATATCAAGGAGACTTTGTCTACAATAGGATTGTTAGAGATTAAACTACAGTAAATGATTGTAAATATTTTTAATTTCTTCATCTGCATTTAAATGCTGATTACATGCTCATACATCAGTAAGAAACACTCCACTGATATAATATATAACTGTACTTTTTAATGTATTTAATTCTGTTTTATGTTCATCTCTGTTGGTGTTCTGGCTACAGAATGAATGTCCATTTAGGGACAATAAAGGTAAAGATGAAACTTGCAATAATATAACACTGAAAGGGGAAATTCTGCTGGCTTACACATACTTAGTACATTTTGCTGCTATATCTCCTGTAGAGTGAGTAAAATTATGAATTTGGGTATTGCTTCTTTTTAGAGCTAACAGTTATTTTCAATTATTTGTTTAATTAACTGATAAGTTGTTGGTCTATAAAATGTCCGAAACTAGTAAAAAGTCCCCATCATTTCCAGGTTATGATTACTTAAGGCCAAGAAAAGCACATTTAAGAGGCTGGAACCAGTTTGGCTTTTATGTTTAACAACTGATGATACATCAAAGTAGTTTAATAGTTTAATTTTCTGTCAGTCGACTAATCAATAAATCATTTTAGCTCTGCAGGTATTACTCAAGAAAAACATGTATTTTGTAGTCTTGTAAATAGGTCGCAAGTCATTTCTGAGGGGAAAAAGCAAAATGTTTCTTAGGTGGAATTATTATTATTGGCATTAGTGTTTGCCAAAGCAGTACAAACTGACTCAAAGCTTATATTCATACTATAATGAATGTATTAGTGATATACTAGTAATAGTCTGAATGAACAACATTGACAAATAGACCCCCGGGCACAGACTTGTACACACAACACACATTGTTGGCGTGCATTTTTCAAGTTTTCTGTGGTATTGTGCAGGTTTAACATTAATGATAAGTTGTTAGTCTCTACAATGTCAGAAAAATATAATATTTTGTTCTTATTGTGTTGTGCTCTACTCCTTAAATTAGTTTCATCAGCTGTAAATCAAGTCAAATGTAATGGTGCATAGAGCAATAAAGGTATATGTCAGAACTGTCAGAGGCAGTTGAGACACAATACTTTTCACAATCTCTAATATTCCAATATAATTGTTAATAAAACATATTGTCCGCTCTGTCAGAGGGCGCATCCACAGTCCATCCATGCAGGTGTAGCCGCCGTACCGAAATGCCACCTTTCCAAGGGCAAAGACGGGGTGCGCATGTTTTAAGTCACCGCGCATCCGGATGGCAACGGTTCACCAGGACGACAGAAGAGCTGGAACTATGACCCCGCCCGGTTAAGCTGACCGCATACGGGCCAACATGCACCCTCCGTGTCGAACACGTGACAGGGAAGAAAAGAAGAAGGGGAAAAAAAAAAAAAAAACAGGAGGAAGAGAGATAAAGGGGAAAAATAAACAACGGGAATATCGTCCGCCTGACCAGAGGAGGGGGTCTTTATCTGCAGGTAATACGGAGTAACAGCCAGCTAGTTGTAACAGCGCTGATATAAACTGTGAGTTTTAACTTACTGATACTAAAGTGTTAGCTAGTGCTCAGCGGGTAGGAGGGCTGCAAATGCTGACGCTGGCTGACCATTGGTATTCACCAAAGTGGCTGAATGCGTGAAGCTAGTTGGCAGGGGACGGTCTTTGCTTTCAGACAGCGTTCATTCGGGTTTATTTTTGTCCTTTGTGTTACGGGAACTGTTACTGTAGAAAAACTGCTGAGCTGTCAAAAGCTTGTGAGCAAGCCGCAGTTACTAACCAGCCATACGGCGACCGCTTGAGGCTGAATCATTCGTCCCCACACGAGATTAGCTCGCAGTGGATGGAAAGAAATAAACAGCCTGTGTGTGAGACACTGTTAGCCTCTCTTATCGGAGACTGACTGGACGTCGACGGACCTCTCTCTCTCACTCAGTCTGGGTGTTATTGACAGTTGTGGAGTGAAAAAAAAACTTTCTTTAAATCTTTTTTTCCCCCAGTTCATTTGGAGAGACAAAGACTGAAGAAGGTTGGGGGACATGTTGAAATGTCAGCTCCAGATGTGATGGGTGGACAGTGGTGGATGTCAGCTGGATATGAGATGAGGAGCACGTAAGTAGAAACATACTTTTAGATGTGTGGTTTATTGACATTATTATTATTATTTGTCTAAGTCAGATGTGTTTACAGCAATAAAACAAACAAGTTGTGCTAAATGAGGTGATGAAGTTACACTAACTTGAACTTAAATACTTCCCTCTAAACAGATTAAAGCTGGATTAGTTATTGTTTACACAGTCTGAGCCCTAGTTCACAGCTGAACATGTGATTACACAGTATAACCTAACAGTTTCTCCCTGTTGTATAAGTTGGCGTACATTTGCAGTGGGTCACGTCTATGCAGTATTTCTTCTAAAGTTTAACTTTGGCAGCAGGTCTGTGGTTACTTTGTCTGTGCACTTGTACTGCGACAGGTAAAATAAAAGTAAAAGTACTGCTAAGAGGGCTGGAAGGATGGCTCAGAGGGGAGGAGACCAGAGAATGGAGGTCGAAGTCCGACTGGCAAGCCTCAATAAATTGTCCAGAAATAAAACAGTGGATCAGTGTTCTGACTTCCTTTTTAACAGGAGACGAGAACGTAGACTATTGGCTAATGATTGAGCAAAAAACATCTCACATCCCTATTATTACTATATTACCCTGTCAATAAACTAAAAGTATACAGTCGTGTAGCAGAGTGAGTAAAGAGTCTGTGGTGCTTCTCTTTTAGAAAACACCAATTAGCACCGATTAAAGCAGAGAGAGCACAAATCTGCTGGTGCAGTAAGGGAAAGCCGTAGACTCTCGAATGTGGACTAATCCTTTCTACCGTCGAGATGACCTGTCTCTGCAATGTTCTTCAGGTAAATAAAGAATCGACTGAGGAAAAAGAGGAGAGGAGAAGATGAAGCTGAACGAACGCAGCGTGGCGCACTACGCCACCTGTGACTCACCGCCAGACAAGACAGGCTTCCTGTTCAAAAAGGGGGAGCGCAACACGGCTTATCACCGGCGCTGGTTTGTCCTGAAGGGTAACATGCTCTTCTACTTCGAGGAGCGCGACAGCCGAGAGCCCATCGGGGTCATCGTCCTCGAAGGATGCACCGTGGAGCTGTGCGAGTCGGCCGAGGAGTTCGCCTTCGCCATCAAGTTTGACTGTGCCAAAGCGCGGGTGTACAAGATGGCCGCTGAGAACCAAGCAGCCATGGAGTCATGGGTAAAAGCGTTGTCGAGGGCTAGCTTCGATTACATGAGGCTGGTGGTGAAGGAGCTGGAGAGGCAGCTGGAGGAGATCCAGGAGGCTGCAGGAGGTGGGGGTCTGCAGGGCAGGCCCAAGTCCTCCAGGCGAAACCAGGTGCCACGGTGCAAGTCCGGAGCATCCTCTTCTTCATCATCTTTATCTTCCTTATCATCATCATCAAGTGCCCCTCCCATGTCAGTCCCCTTCTCCGCACAGAAGAGCCTCCAGGACGAGGCGCAGCTCGTCTCTGAGTGCTCCAAGGAGAATGGAGTTGCATGGAGTAAACCAGCAGTTGCCTTGGCTAACGGCTCCATTGAGGCAGCGTCCTCCTGTGTGGCCTGGGAAGGCTGCGCGGACTCTGGGAGTAACACTGTGATTGGTTCTGGGGCTGATGGGGTGAGGGCTCCGCCAGTGCCACCCAGGAGGAGAGGAGCATCCCTGGAAAGCCCCGTCTCCCCTGGCACCGGCTGCTTCTCCAAACTCCATGACTGGTACGGCAGAGAGGTGGAGGAGCTAAGAGTGGAGTGGCTACAGAGCCAGTGAACTAATGGAGGTGGATCACCTCGTTTTCCAGTTTTATCATTCCTTCCTCAACATTCTGCAATGTTACAGCCTTTCAGACCCAACAGAAGGGAGAGCAAACTGAGACTTAATTGCAAATTGCAGTCTTATCACCAACCAAATAATAAAAAAACAAACATTTTAGACTGATTCCAGATCTTGTCTGGCACAGGAGAATCAATCTGTCTTAAACATTAACACTATCCATTGAACAATCCAAGACATTTTAAAACCCAAAATATGCTTTTTTCCACAGTGTCATTTGCCAAGGACAATTCAAAATGTTAAGAATACAGTATTTAAAATGGTATTCATTGTCAGTTTTTCTTGCAAGGTGCAAAGAGTTGCAGCCTTATAGATTTCTGAAAAATAGGTTTTTCTATTATTATATTGCCAATATTCACTTCAAAATGTGCATGTACAATTGTTTTTCTGTAAAGCTGCAGGGACCTTAAATCTAAAATCACTACAGTTAAGTCTCTTTCTGATGGAAGGGACAAGCCCTGGATGGTAAGGATGTTTTCTGTTATATGCAATATATTATATGTTATGAAATAAAGAGGGCCACATGAGTATTGATCTAAAGTCATTGCACAAAACAGATCCACATGGATCAGGTTGCTATAGTGACATTAACGGTGGCGAGGGAACAGAAAATCTAGCAGCTTTATATCTGATGATGTCTAAGCTTTCCTCTCCGGATGACAAAACAAAATTAATTTGTACAGTTGATGAGATTTTTTTCACAATCTAATGGCAAGAGCACCAAGACAACGAGCAGCTTACAAGTTTTAAAAATGTATAATCTAAATCTCTATAAATAAATCCAAACATTTCCTGCAACTCAAACCACTTTAACTCCTAAGCTCACTTTAATATGTCGACTTGTAAAGAAAAGAGAATTTTCCCGGGATAAGACGTGGTTGTTGGGTGGGCACTAACTAGCCCACATTCTTCTCCGTACTCCCACAGGGGCACATCTCACCCCAGAGGCCTTGTGGTTGCTAGGGTCAGAGCATCCTCTCGACAGTCACCGGGGACCGTAGTGGGTGCTGGATGTCTTGCTCAGAGCAATACGCTGGTATTTTTAGCTCTTGTTAGCCAGCGGCCAGATGAGGCTGTGTCATAAGAATGCTTGTCACTTAGTTCTCGTTTGACTCTGTATTCCATAAATATCTTTGAATCTACGGGAGTTAACACATGTCACTGTTATTATGATCATTTCATATCATTTCACATCAGATGGTCTTAATTTGGTCATGCTTTTGGTTTGTTTGTTACAAGCTGGTTAACCTAAAAGTTACTGAATGAGTGTAACTGTTAGAGGCCTATACTGTGTGTCTACATCTAACCTCCTGGTTTGTATATAAATAGTTACTGTTCCATGTTGGAAATTAACACCAGCAGTCTGCAATATGGGCTTTTTTAAAATGATTGCTCATCCAATCTCATAGACGTTTACATTTTTGTTTTATATGTGCCTTCTGTTATCTTTATATTGCACTTGCAGCCATTACCATAGGACTACAGTGATGGCAGGCTTTGACTTTGCTTCTTTTTTTGATTGTACTCCTCTTCATTCTTGCAAAGGCTCATCTGGGTGCAATCACTTTTTGACAATGGCTCAGTTACTTCAGTGTGCATCAATGCACAGCACTATCATTACAATTACACAACAATGTGGGAAGAAGCGGTACAGTGTGGATTGTATTTTTTCAGAACGAAAGTATTGAGGCGGTTTGCTTTTGACACCTATTATCTAGAATTATTGTTGTAAATCCAATTTTGTTAACTCCAGAAGAGCATTATCCTCATTACGGATGACAATAGTCTGTTTTTTGTACAATAATATTTAAAGGAATTTGTGAATGTGTCAAATAAACCATATAAGTGATAATGGTTTCTGTCTTCATGCAGAAGTGCCAAATGAAGAATGCAATCTAAATGCACAATAATAATTTTTTTCGATTGACTTCTACAATTGTAGTACGGTTTTTCAACGTCATAGTACACAATATGATCATTATTTTAAATAACCAATATATGTAACACATTGTCCTGAAAAGATGTATGCATTTATTGTAAACCACTCAATAAACAGTATATTAAAACGTTATTTGTGAACAGTTTTTCTGTGATGACAGTATCTGTTGGGGTTGAGGAATTTGATGTTTTATCCTTTATTTATTTATTTTCATTTTATGTTTATTTAGCAGGGGCAGTGCACAATACATTGGTACGTGTTGTATCAGATATAACCAGTGCATCGCATCATGTGCAGGTTACAGACATAGCGGTTAAAGATCAGTCGTAAATAAAAACCTTATACTCACACATTCATTACACATTTTTACAGTTAAATGGATCCACTGAGTTAATTTAATGCCTGAACTGGCCTTATGAAACCCCACACACACACACACACATTCTTAGTGCTATTCAGTCTCTCTCTCACCAGGTGTCGCTGTGCAGCAATTTTAAACAGTAGTCTGAAACCTTTGACTGCAGGGAAATCAATACTTTACACCTGGAGGGACAGGTGAATATAACAAACCGTCCAGAGGCAAAAACCTGCAAACTCAGAAAAAAAAAATAGTTTTATAGTGTCAACCCAAATGGACAGTGTGCTTCAACTTCTCCTCTTCATCTTATGTAGTGAGCACTTGGTAAACCGCCATAACAATCAATAGAAAAGAGGTCGTCTCTCTGTAACACAGGTTAGTGTAACATATTGAGTTGCACTGGCAGGAAACTATCATACTACTATATATATTTTCTATCCTTTAATCCACGTGTGTTGTGTTAGGCTCCATCACTTTAAGGAATTATTGTAAAAAAAAAATTAAAAAAAGTTTAGGATATATGTTTCAGTAATAATGGATGTGACACAGTAGAAATCCCTTTAAAGCAGTGACAGACATCCACAGATTACAAACTACATGTACAGTATCAGGGAACACTTCTTGAAGGAGTCTGGACAGCTTCTGCATCTTGCACATACCATACTTGACCAAAGGGCTGCTGCCTGCAAACAGCACGAATAACTTCAGAGAATAAGGAAACTACTTCCGGTGTGGACATTTCAACATAAAAGTACGTTTAAATTTACCTATATATACACTCAGTTTCATCTAGTCAAAATGATAAATAATAAACTAAATAAAATAAATACTGTCATGAAGGTTAAAAGTTCATTTTTTGTTGAAGCTGTTTCAGAGAGGTTTTGATTCAACTTTATGACCCATTTGGAGGCTGCAGTTCATGGTGCTGCATTGCATTGTACAGAAAGATGTTATGTAACCTACTCTCACTGATATGAACGGGGTAATAATAAGATAAGTATGTAAATATGTGAGGTCAAGAACATATTCCATACGCCTGTATGTTAAGAAAACTAGGCTAAATTAGCTTTCTGCAATTTACTATTGGACGAATATTAGGTTACCAAAACAAATGTAAGCATATCTATGAAATCAAACAATAATTTATGCAAAGAATTTGACAGCTTCCAAGAAACCAAAATTGCCATTGTTGAACCACTCAAGCTACAGAGCTTTAACAAAAAGAAGCAAGAGGCGTATAATATTTGCCTTTTCCAAGTGATATGCTGCATGCATAAATTATATGTCAAATTAATTAACCATTCTGTAGCAGTGTGGATATTTGACTTTTTAATGCTCCATGAATAAAACAGCTACAGTGAGTCACAGTTGTGCATTACACAAAATTATTTTAAAACATAAAATGCATTGTTTTTGAGTCAGTTAAACCACTCAAAAGTATATAAATTGTGTAAAATTAGCTCTACCATAGCAAGTTACATCATTAAACTGCATCAGTAACAATAATAAAGTAATATATAATAATAATATAACCCTGACAGGGCCCTTTTTGCTTGCATATTGAGTATTTTTACTTGACCAGTACTTGACTTTCTTTTCATACATGAAGAATCTAATTGCCAGTGACTGTAATGTGACATGTTGTGCACATGTTGTCCTCATTTTAAAAGCAGGATAATATGCTACTGCTATCTAAACACAGGGGCCCCCTAGTGGGTTCATCAGACCTTGGTGAATGGCGCCTCGGAAGCGCGTCTCTTATTTTGAAAGACCAAGCCGGAAGCCGTTTTGCGAGTTTCCTCGGAGTTGACACAGCTGGTCGCGGCATTTTCTTTCTTTTTTTTTTTGACAGCGGAAATGAGGAGTAGCCACTTTTTTCCGCATCAAGTTCGTGGCTGAAAGTTTCTTTCCTCATTTTTTTTTTTTTTTTGTTGTTGCAGAGGAACCGTCGCGTGCACGCACAATGAGAGAGAAAGCCACGCGCCTTATAGCTCGCAGCTTTTCCTCTCACGTCCAGTTTGTTTTAGCTCCTCGCCGACGTCGTTTTTGACTTACTTTAGATGTTTCTCAGCACATTTCCGTTATGCGAAGTCCAACTTGTTGGTTTGTCGTCGTGCTGCGGTGGGTGCCCATCCGAGATAACGGAGAACGTGAGTATGTGTGTGAGCTCCTGTCAACTTTTATTCCCTTATCGTCTTAAAGTGCTTTTTATCACCGCTAAACTCTTAACTTCACCACACGGGGAAGACACATCCCAAAGTGACGAACCGCAGCATTAATGTGGACAAAGCTTCTGTCCAACATTACATTTTGTGTTTTGTTTTTTTTTTTCCTTCAGTTTTTTTTTCTGATAATCGTCGAAAAAAATGTGTTAGTGTGAAATTTAAAGGGCTCTGCCTCTTCTCCGGCTCGGGGCTGGCGCAGAGTTTTTGGGCCAAAAAGTTTTTTTTTTTTTTTATAGTTTTTCTATTAAAAAATAGTCTTTGAGAGCTGCTTGGCGTCACTTCAATAGTTGGCACAAAAGATGTACACAACACGTGCTTTTCTTGTAACTTAGTAGTAGCTTTTAGTAAGTCCATGTGAATTTCTACCACATTATTTGGCGCAAATATCTATCAGTTATGGTCGCCATGGTGATGTCGCAATATGAAACCTATTGTGACTCATGTGCAACATGGCAATGGACCAAACATGGAGCCAAACATATAAGAATAAAGAAAGAAAGATACCTAATTGTCCGCCAGTTAAGACCCTTGAATAATAACTTTAAAACGTGAACGTTATTGTTGTTTGTGGCAGACGTTATTGTGCTCTGCTTCAGTTCAGTGGTCACTCCTCATGACTGCTGGATGGAGAACAGGAACAAGTGAGGAGCAGCGACTTGGTTTCATAGTCCCGTGTTGGATAGCAGCAAATCAAAACAGTAATTTCTGTGAGTGTGTTTTGGAGGGGATTCACTTCTATTCATATCTCCTGTGTGTGTGTGTGTGTGTGTGTGTGTGTGTGTGTGTGTGTCTAAGTGTGTAAATACAG